GGGCAAAAGTTGTCTAAGCAAGATGTTAGAGTGGAGCAAAGAGTGTCAGTAGCACTGTTTGTGTCCAGCGCTGAAAACTGAGAGGGTGAAGGAAGTGAGGATGAAACCATAGAGGATAGGCGAGAGGGAGAGAGCGAGCGTAGGTTACTCTGAAAGGTGACCTGCGGAGGAGTGTGTGTTGCGTCCAGAGTCAGTGTGAGGTTAGAAGTGATAAGGAAGTGGTCTGAGGTGTGCATTGGAGTAACTAAAGTGCTGTCAGTTGAGCAGTAGTGTGTGTAGATAAGGTCCAATTGGTTACCTGATTTGTGATTAGCTGTAGTAGACGCACTTGAGGTCAAATGAGGCAAGCAGAGTGTTGAAGTCAGCAGCCTGTGGTTTATCTAGGTGGATGTTGAAGTCACCGAGCAGTACCAGAGGAGTACCGTCCTCAGGGAAGTTTGAGAGTAACACATCCAACTCATTTAAGAATTACCCAGTTGACTTGGGGGACGATATATAACTACAAAATGGATTGTAACAGGGTGGGTAATAGTAATTGCGTGTGATTCAAATGAACTGTTGCCGGTAAGAGATGGTAGACTATCAAATTTCCATTCTTTTGAAATAAGTAGACCCGTCCCTCCACCCCTCCCAATCGGGCAAGAGGTGTGGGAAAATGTGAAATTAGTGGAGAGGGCTGCAGGAGTGGCAGTGTCCTCAGGTTTGATCCAAGTCTCAGTTAGGGCCATGAGGTTGTGACTTGAATGAGTAGCAATAGATGAAATAAAGTCTGCTGTGTTTACAGCAGACTGGCAGTTCCAGAGACCAATTGGAATAGAGAGTAAAGTAGTAGAGGACATAGGGACAGTACGCAGATTATTAGGATTGCACTGCCTCCAATGTACAGTGCGTGATTTCCGAGGGTTAGTAGTAATAGTAGAGATTTGAAAGCACATGTTGAGTACAATTGACTAGAACAAGTAGATGAGAACAAGTTACACAAAAAGTAAAGAAAGGGGAAAAAAAGCAATACTCAGGTGCCTTGTCCTTGCTCGGTGGAGTCACGCAGGTAGAGTCGATGGTCTTTACACTCGTCGGTCTTCACACCAGGGCTTCCGCGGTGTACTGAGCAAATATATACTCCCCTGATTCCACGTAATTGAATTCAGCTAGCCACGCCTTACTACTTATTAAACCGAAACTGCAAAGCCACGTGATACGCACGAGAACAAACGTGACTTGAGCACGTGTTTACCACGGTAAACACAGTAAACGAAACAATGTGTCCTAGCAACGACAACCGCGCTAAAATCTAATGCTGTCCTCCTTTGCTGCTCGACTGCTTCTACTAACAAGTACTTGCAAACAAGGTAAATTATATCTGGTCAAAAATATTGATGCTGTGCATACATGGGCGTATATTAATATCCATCCCATTAAACGCTCTCTGATTAATATCATGACTTATGCGGTGATGCAGAGTAAAGGCGGGTCAGAAAGCGCTGGTACCTTGTTGGGTTTGATGGCTCGCTGCAGATTCTCGATCCATTTGTCCCTCTCAGCAGCAGAGCGGCACGCGAAACACTTGGTGCCCGATGCAGTCGTCACCTGAAGCACAGAGAAAACCCTTTCATTACGCACCAATCACACATTATATCTGTTTATTTTGTTTCATTTTTGCATGATTATTCAGCTGAGCATTTGTATTATGAGTCTTTTTTGTAAGTATTCGTAAATTATCGGTTTTATTGTTGTATTGTGAAAATCCAAAGTCGATAAAAATGTTCAATTTGTTATTTTTATTTCTGTGAAGCTGCTTTGACACAATCTGTATTGTATAGAGCGATGTCGAAATAAATGTGACTGACTTGAAGAATAAAAACTGGAATCATTATGTAATCCCAGAATTTTATTCGCATATTCTTCAATAAAAACAATAGTTATTTAGAGGGGAAAATGTATTTACATCTATTTATTTAAATTACAGTCATCTTGATTTTTAAAATGTAATTATTAATAGTAGGGATGCACCGATAGGATTTTTTTTTTGGCCGATACGATACCAATTTTAACAAACAACTATTGGCCGATTCTGATACCGATATTGGTCAATTGCATAAAGCAGGGCTTAAAAACAAAAAATTTCACATTTGCGTAGGCCGTACTATGCTGTCTGAGAAACTATATTTTGTTCAGATTTTATTTTGTTTTGGCAAGTATTTAATTATTTTGCCCAGAGAAAAACGTTGGATTATGCAACCGACATGCAACTCATTGTCTCCATGCAGTTAATTAATAAACCATCAGTATCGGCCCTTTTCATGCTATTTCTGATATGCCGATGGCTTTAAAATAATCAAAAATACGATACATTGGTGCATCCCTAATGAATAGTTAATTCATTACATTTTTTAAATATTGTATGTTTTTAAATGTAACTAAATAATTTGGTGACACTGTACAATAAGGTCTAGTTTTTAACATTAGTTAATACATGAACTAACAATGACCAATATATTTCATAGCATTTATTAACCTTTGTTAATGTTCTTTACTAAAAACACAACTGTTTATTGTTTCTTCATGTTAGTTCATGGTGCATTAAACAATATTAATGAATACAACTTTCAATCTTGAAAATGTGTTAGTTAATTATTAGTTAATGTAGAAATTTACATTAAGATGAATAAATGTTTTAGAATTATTTTTCTATTATAGTACATGTGGAAAGGATAGTTCGCCCAAAAATTAATATTTTGCCATCATTTTACTCTCCAGTACGAGTTTCCGTCTTCTTTTGAACTTAAAATAAGATATTTTGATAAATGTTGGAAATAGAACAGTTTCTGGTCCCCATAGACTCCCTTCATATTTTTTACATTTCATAATAGTTGACTGTTGATAAATATGATGCAGGGCAACAACTCCATAAATGCAGTTATGCCCTAAAATTCAAGATATTGGGTCAAAAAATGCTCCTGTATGAGTTTTTGCCTCATATTTATATCACATAATAAGCGACATATCACACGAGTGCTGTTTATGTACAAATAGCACTAGTGCAAATGTGATTTTATACAACAGTTCAGTAAATAAGAAGTTAATTTTGTGTTATATTTTAAACACAACATTGATTGTTTTTGCTTAGTTTTGCTAACAAAAATATTACCTGTTAAGCCACAGCAGAATCGTTGTGCGTCTGTGAGCAACACAGTGGTGTTTAGTTGAATGAATCCACGTTTTGAACGAATCGAGTGAATCAATGATTCAAAGGTCCGTTCATAAAGAGAGCAGTTTACTGAACTCCTGAATGAATCAGCCGTTTGAACGAATCAAGTGAATCAATGATTCAAAGGTCCGTTCATAAAGAGAGCAGTTTACTGAACTCCTGAATGAATCAGCCGTTTGAACGAATCAAGTGAATCAATGATTCAAAGGTCCGTTCATAAAGAGAGCAGTTTACTGAACTCCTGAAGTGTTATATTTTAAACACAACATTGATTGTTTTTGCTTAGTTTTGCTAACAAAAATATTACCTGTTAAGCCACAGCAGAATCGTTGTGCGTCTGTGAGCAACACAGTGGTGTTTAGTTGAATGAATCCACGTTTTGAACGAATCGAGTGAATCAATGATTCAAAGGTCCGTTCATAAAGAGAGCAGTTTACTGAACTCCTGAATGAATCAGCCGTTTGAACGAATCAAGTGAATCAATGATTCAAAGGTCCGTTCATAAAGAGAGCAGTTTACTGAACTCCTGAATGAATCAGCCGTTTGAACGAATCGAATTAATGAAAGACTCATAAAGACATTTACTGCCACCTGCTGGCAGATTTAGTTTCTTAGAGTATTATTTCATAAAAAAATTAAAATTAAAAAAAAAGGGGAAAAAAATTAAAGGGATAGTTCACCCAATTTATTTTTAATTATGTCATCATTTATCCTACTTAAAAGAAAGTAAGTCATTCAGGTTTGTGTAGCATAAAAGAAGGTATTTTGAAGACAGCTGTTTTGGTTACCAATGACTTCCATTGCATGAACGAAAAAAAAACTGAGATGTTTCTTAAAGGTGACATGAAAATCTGAAATTTTATGCTGAATCAAATAAAATATTTCTTTCTAAAGCTACTATATGTAATGTCTACTTAATACGTTCTCATTTAACACAAAAATAGCATTAAATAATCTTTCGGAGGTATTTTCACAGCCAAATGTAATTTGCGATTAATTAATTAACCTAATTTGCTATTAGATTCATTAACATCGACACATCATGTAATTAATTAGATTAAAAAATTTTAATCGACTGACAGCCCTAGTTAAAACGTTTCCATTTACACTTGGCCACATAAATGTGTTGTCACAAAACTGATATAAATCCGATCTTCACTTCCCGCGTTATATTTAAATTTAACGGAGATCACGTCAACGAAAGCAACAGATGAGCGCAGCATTTTATTCATTATCAGCTAATTTCAAGATCAAAGACCGCAACAGGAGAGAGCACAGCATCAGCACTGGAAAGATAGGTTAGTCTCACTACTTTTAATGAAGATGATTGTGTGTTGAGCGTCTGCGACTTACTTT